GAGATATTGCCATAAGGCTTTCTTACCTAGAGAGGGTAGGCCTTGGTCACACAAAGTTGCATGAAAGACCCAGCTTCAATGGCCTTTGAAAAATAGATAAAAGAATTTAGTATAAAGAGTGAAGGAATCATAAAAGGCTAGAGATAGCCAACTAACTCACTGACCACAGGAGCCATTAGAAGCAGCAGCTGTGATAACACAAAGCCTGACCGAGAAGAGAGGGTTCTTGAGAGTCCAAGTCGAGAGAAAACCAAGAAATGGCGAAAATGGCGAGGAGTGGCAGGGCCGCCCCTTCTATACCCACCCAGGACTGCCATACAACAATATGGGCAGTATTGTCTGCTGCGCATTCGCAGATCCCCCTGTATAAAGGAATGGGCCAACCTGAAAGCTGCTCGAGCTGAGGAGGATCTTCTAGTGACCGGATATTGCGCAATACATCAAAGGGATTGCGCCCCGGGCAAGCCCATGCATGCCTCCGGCAAGCAGAAGCCATTTAATTAATTTTGATCTGCGCATGCGCAGATCCCCCTGTATAAAGGAATGGGCCAACCTGAAAGCTGCTCGAGCTGAGGAGGTCTGAGTTAATTGGTAGGTGTGGTTAATGATTATGACCCATCCTACATACTAGTGTGCAATTCGCAAGGAGACTTATTCTTGTTAACAAATTGACTCTGGCTGGGACTTAAAATATTAAAGGACCTTCTTTCTTGATATCTTTGGGCGATGGCCGTCTTTCGCTATCATTGGGGACTTGTACTCAATCCTGGAGGCTTACCTCATCCATTAAAACTGTAATTACACTATAGATCAATACTGTATGTATATATAATATTTTGTATGTATAACTCATAAGCATGAGTTTTACTGTATTACTGAACGTGTACAATTAGGTAAAGTGCTGTTTAAAATACAGTACAATGCTGTTTTAACTGCTGTATATTAGTGTTTTTACTGTTCTATTTATAGTGAGATGGACTTTGATGTACACTAATGAGTGACAGATCATCTTTTACCAAGATAGGACAGCTTATATTCATTATATCTTTTTAATTGTACAACATTACTGTATATACTGAGATATTTAACTGGTGTTGTTTAATTACTGTGGTGTGTAAACTGTTTTACCTGTATTTTAGTGTAGTATTAAGTTTATTATAACAATAACAATGACTATTTAGCTAACTATTAGGTGTGATAATGGCAGTAGTGACGTTATTACTCTAAAGAATGTATTATTAATAAATGCATTAAGGAGATTGCGCAATACTTCTTTGCATGTGCAGAAGGTTGAGTGGTGTCTACTGCGCATGCGTAGGCCTCCTGTGTAAAGGAATGGGCCAACTTACTGTAAGTACCATACCATCTTTACAAAAATGGCCAAAAAATCACTCCAAATTTTTATTACATTTTCTGATACATATTGATGTCCTTATGCTGAGTAGCGAGATTGAGCTGATTCCAATCAAGTTTGGATTTTTTATGATTTTTTAAATTTGCTTAAAAATCGGACAAAAGTCCCTGTACTATAGTACAGGGATTTTTGTAAAATTTTACAAAAATTGACAAGTAAAAAATTCCTGAATTTTATTACATTTCCTGATGCATATACATGTACTTATGCAGTGTAGAAAGATTGAGCTAATTCCAATCAAGTGTAGATTTTCTATGATTTTTTAAAGTTGCTTCAAAATTGGACAAAAGTTCCTGTACTATAGTACAGGGATTTTTGTAAAATTTCACAAAAAATGACAAGTAGAAAATTTCTAAGTTTTATTACCATTCCTGATGCATATACATGTACTTATGCAGTGTAGAAAGTTTGAGCTGATTCTGATCAAGTTTGGATTTTCTATGATTTTTTAAAGTTGCTCAAAAATTGAACAAAAGTCCATGTACTATAGTACAGGGATTCATGTAAAATTTCACAAAAATTGACAAGTAGAAAATTCCAAAATTTTATTACATTTCCTGATGCATATACATGTACTTATGCAGTGTAGAAAGATTGAGCTGATTCCGATTAAGTTTGGATTTTCTATGATTTTTTAAAATTGCTCAAAAATCGGACAAACTATTATAGTACAGGGATTTTCAAAAATTTTACAAAAATTGACAAGTAGAAAATTCCTAAATTTTATTACACTTCCTGATGCAAATACATGTACTTATGCTGTGTAGAAGTTTGAGCTGATTCCTAGTGATTAATTCCAATGAAATGTCTACAGGAGATTTATTCTTGCTACAATCTTGACTCTGGCTGGGACTTAGAATAGTATTGGTTTCTTATTTGGTACACCAATTCTCACTGAAACTTTGAAGAAAGAATACTAGGATCTTTATTCTATAATACTGGTCACACCCACCAACCTTTTCAAATTATCAGCTAGCATGCTCAGAAGGTTGGTGGGTGTGGCCAGTATTGTCTGCTGCTGCGCATGCGCAGATCCCCCTGTATAAAGGAATGGGCCAACCTGAAAGCTGCTCGAGCTGAGGAGGAACTTCTAGTGACCGGATATTGCGCAATACATCAAAGGGATTGCTCACAGTGCAAGCCCATGCATGCCCCGGGCAAGCCCATGCATGCCTCGGGCAAGCCATGTCATGACCTGGGCTTGCATTAGCCTTTTAATTAATTGTGATCTGCGCATGCGCAGATCCCCCTGTATAAAGGAATGGGCCAACCTGAAAGCTGCTCGAGCTGAGGAGGTCTGAGTTAATTGGTAGGTGTGGTTAATGATTATGGCCCATCCTACATACTAGTGAAGATGTCTGGTGCAAGGAGACTTATTCTTGTTAACAAATTGACTATGGCTGGGACTTAAAATATTAAAGGACTTTCTTTCTTGATAGCTTTGGGTGACGGGCCGTCTTTCACTATCATTGAGGACTTGTACTCAATCCTGTAGGCTTACCTCATCCATTACAACTGTAATTACACTATAGATCAATAATGTATATAATATTGTGTATGTATAACTCATAAGCATGAGTTTTACTGTTTTACTGAACGAGTACAATTAGCTAAAGTACTAGTGCTGGGCGATATTGAAAATTTTGAAACGATACGATATGATACGATATTGCCTAAAAATGAAGATATCGATATTTTTAATCGATAAGTTATTAAGCCACACCCATTAACTTTAATACTACTAAAATGGCTAAATAAAGTT